TGTTTTTCGCTCTATATAGGTCAAAGTCTTCCTGTTTTTTGGTGTTTAGGTATTTTATGTGTAGTTTTTTCATTTCTTTTATATAGAGAAATAAAAAAACATATATATATATATATATATATATATATATATATATATATATATATATATATATATATATATATATATGGAGAAAGACACACAACCTGAAACTGAGAGGACAAAAAGGATGTTAGAAAAGGCAAAGACAAAAACATTAAAAAATTGATGACAAGACACTATGGAACAAAACTAGAAATACATATATACAACTTAGATGCAAGGAGGAGAATACCAAGAACTGGGTACGAACTAGAAGAGTAGAATTAAACGATCATATATCCTGAATGACAACAAATAGAGTAGTAAAGACGGAAAGAGACGTTCCAATAGGAAGACGATTAGTAGAAAGACGACAAAAACGATGGAACGACAACTTACTGAAGTCACATTGAAAATCAGACAGAATCATGTCTACATAAAGAAAGAAGAAGAAGACGAAGAAGAAGAAGAAAAAGAAGAAGAATACAATAAACATGTTGTCAACAAATTGGCTCGGGAAAAGAATATAATTCTTCTACAAAAATCAAGTAGCGGGGAAAACTTAACTTTTAAAATGGATGATATCAAAGGTCTGCTAGCTACTGCTATAGAGAACATCACGCCAGACTTATGGAAAAATTGCATTACATTTACTTCTTCTTCTTAACATGCCATACACCAAAGTGCGTAGGCGACTATCTCATTACTAGAATTCTGTTCTTGGCGGCGTGACACAGCTCACCTGTATTGTGTATTCCTGTCCATTCTTTAATATTCCTTAACCAGGACAATTGTTTCCGGCCGGCTCCTCTCCTACCTTCGATCTTCCCTTGTAGGATTAACTGTGGTATTTCATATTTTGCTCCTCTCAATATGTGCCCAAGGTAACCAATCTTGCGTTTTTTAATTAATTCAAAGAGTTCTCTTTCCACGCCGGCTCTATTAAGGACGTCATCGTTTCGAACTCTATCCACCCAAGGTATGCGCATCATTCTTCTCAATGACCACATTTCAAATGCTTCAAGTTTGTTGATAGATGTTTTTTTCAAAGTCCACGTTTCCATGCCATAAAGCAAGATGGACCATATGTAGCACTTGACCATTCTGTAGCGTATTTCGAAGTTTAGGTGTTGATTACATAGGAGCGGTCTGAATTTCACAAAAGCTTGTCTTGCCATTTGTATTCGGGTTTTTATCTCGTGTTGTGGATCCGATTGGTCATTGATTGTGGTGCCAAGGTATTTAAAAGTTTTCACGCGATTTATACGATTGTCACCTATGCATAATATCGGGTTTTCTGGAGGGTTTCTGCTAATGACCATATATTTCGTTTTCAAAATGTTGATTTTGAGGCCATATTTTTTACCTATGCTATTCACCCTATCAAGTAATAACTGCTGATCTTCCAAATTATCAGTTATAATCACTGTGTCGTCCGCATAGCGTAGGTTGCTAATTGGTATGCCGTTCACCTTAATGCCTAATTCCGTATCTTCTTATGCTTCCGCAAATATATTTTCAACATATAAATTAAAAAGCATCGGAGAGAGTATGCAGCCTTGGCGGACACCTTTCCGGATTTCAAATTCATCCGTATATTGGTCTTGATCAATCCTCACCTTTGCCATTTGGTTCCAGTATAGATTCTGAATAATTCTGATCTCCTTCTGGTCAATGTTGGCCCTATGTAGTAGTTCCATCATGATATCATGTTTAACATTGTCAAATGCCTTCTCGTAGTCGATGAAGGTGAGGTAGACATCTTTTCGTTGATCTAAGCAGTTTTGTATTAAGGTGTTCAAACATAAAATTGCCTCTCTTGTTCCTAGTCCTCCCTTAAAACCGAATTGTGTTGACCCGCTAAGTTCTTCTAGTATCTTATACATTCTTGAGTGTAATATCCTAAGGAAGAGTTTCAATAAGTGACTCATTAAACTGATTAAGCGGTGTTCATTGCATTTTGTGGCATTAGCTGTTTATTATTATTACATTTACATACTATTACATTTACTAGAAAAAAAGAAAGCATAATATGGGATCCAGATACTGGAGTAAATGTTTCCGTTAAATCGATAAATAATAATTTGGCGAATTGTGATTGCATCGTCATCATCCGTCCGGTTTTCTTCAGATGATAGTTGATATTTTAACTTTTTGTGGATGTCGGACTCCTTTGTCAATATTGCCTCATATAATATTCTATTATACGAGTATAAGGATTTAATGATTCCATTTTTAATACTAATATTGTGATTTGATTTAAAATTTAAATATCTGTTGGTGTGGGTTAGTTTTCTATACACCTGAGTCTCATATCCAGTATCGTTCTTAGAGATTAAAACATCCAGGAAAGGTAGTGTGTTATTATATTCCTTTTCCATGGTAAATGTTATTTTCTCTTCTTTATCGTTTATATCATTTAGGAATGTGCCCAACAACTCTGATCCATGAGGCCATATTGAGAATACATCATCTACATTTTTCCACCATACTGTGGGTTTTAAATTTTGTTTAGAAATGATATTTGTTTCAAAATCTTCCATAAATATATCGGCTAATAATAAAGATAAAGTAGACCCCATTGCTAGACCAAAATTTTGTTTATAGAAATTATTAGTTATTCAGTTCAGTTTATAGAATTCATTCATTATCACAGTTGCGTTCCCCTTGTCTGCTGGTAGGATAATTATAGAGTCGCCATTTTTTAAAGTGCTTATAGTCTCTAGTTCCTCTTTGCTTATGTTTTGTTCAATTTTATTAGACTTTTCCAATTTAAGTTTACATAATACTCTGTATTCTTCCTTTTCGTGGGTTGGTAAACATTGAGATATTTTCTTCACTGAGCTTAAATGTGCTACATGTCTTTTTAAGGTAACACTTATAACATCTTCTCCATGATTGTGTGGTTCTCATATTGTACTTTTTAGATGAACTGATGATGCTTTCAGAATACGAAAGCGAAACGCCTTCAAAATAGATAAAATAGCCTATCAACTTAGTCTTTTATTTCTCCACCTTGAGACCGATATAAGAACCCACCACTCGTCTGAGTGATCCTTATAATATATATATATATATATATATATATATATATATATATGTATATATATATATATATATATATATATATATATATATATATATATATATGTATATGTATTGTTATGATATGTAAAATCGAGAAAAATATTGGTTTGCTTAAAATATTTCAAAGTTCCAAAAAAATTAAAATAATTCAGATAAGTAGGATAATAAACAACAAACATTTCGAAGAATGAAAGTCTTTTAATTTTGGATTACCTGTATTGAACAAAACGTAAGATATGCATAAATTATTTTCTTTGTTAAAATATATTTGAGTGACCTGCATAAGCTTAAGTGAAATCCTAGACAATGGAAGCGGGTTTTCCAAATAAATTTGTGCAGTAATTAGGACAATAGAATAGATTTTAGAAAGATATGTTTTTGTTAGTTCATAAGAATTGGTAGAAAAAGATTATTTTGTAAATAAGTTTTAGGAAATTTTATAATTGTAGGTAAAAATTTGTTTGTGTTATAAAAATGAAGAAATGGGAGAGGTATGACGCGTTTTGATTGGATGAGATTGAAAAAGGTGGGATGGTTGGTTTGAGAATGAGACGTTAGTTAGTTTTTGAAGAAAAAAAAGATAAGCAGTTGGTTTTCAAGGGTACAAGGCGAAGGGCCGTTGTTCTCGGGTAGTTTCCCAGAGGTAGGAAGCAGTTGCAGTGAAAGTTTGTGAGTTTTCGTGTAGTTAGTGTATCTGACAGAAGCTGATCCAGTAAAAGATTGTAAGTCATATTTTTTACTTGTATTCCAAGAGTCACTGTTCAGGCCAACGAGAGATTCAGTTTATCGTAAAGAGAAGATATTCCAAGAGTCATTTTTCACTCAGGCCAACGAGAGATTCAGTTTATCGAGAGGAGAAGAGGCTAGCATAATTTGAACGATTTGTGCATTTGAAGGAGATCATTAAGGACGATAAACTTGCAACAATTTGTTGTAAGATTGCTGATTACCTAGGGAGCTGCTAAGAGTAGATAGTATAGGCTACAAGGAACAAGGATTTGGACCACTCATCATCAGAGAGAGATAGTTTTGTTTTCTGCAGTTTTTCTTTTATTGATAACACAATTTTTACACTTACTTTAGAAAAGATATAAATATTTTGATTAGGAGATTTAGAATAATAATTGGAATTTTGAGATTTTAACTAATATTGTTTGTACCATTAATTTTGAAGGTTCACGTACGTAGAACAAAATTTTGAGAATCATTATATGAGATTTTGTTTATTGAAAACATTTGAGTGTGAATTTTATTTCATTATTTTTATTTCAATATATAGTGTTATATCATATATGTTGTTTTTTTATTATTCCGGTATTCTTTGGACCTTACCTTTCACATGTAAAGCATAGATATTGAAGCACGAATATAACCCTGAGATAAGAGAATTAAAAAGTGTGATAGAATCATAATCATATCATTTAAATAATTTTAATTAATTAATTAATTAATATTAGCTAATTAATTGCTTGGCGCACTAAGACTTTGAATATCACAATAGTACATATATTATATATATATATATATAATATATATATATATATATATATATATATATATAACTAAGTATACTTATATAACAAAGTGTATCTAACTAAGTTATTTATTCCTTTAAAATTATGGTCTCATAAAAGTCTCATAAAACAAAGTATGCTACAATTCCGACAATGTAGTTTTATTTTGTTTTTTTTTTGTATTGTAGAATGGATAATGAAAATACCATTTAAAATTTGGTTTAAAATACTGCACGTATTTAACATTTTTTTATTTGCTATTAATGCAAAAATGTTATCAGTTTAGTTTGTATCAATTAAACGCTATATATAAACCACTTTTAAAGGTTGTATCCAACTATTGAAGTAATTCTTCAGTATGAGAACTTTGCTAACTCACGTGTTGCTCTATGCTCTCATATTATCAAGTACATGTAAGTGTTATACTCATTATTCGTTATGAACAACGTTGGTTTCCGGATTTTAGTAATGTCATTTTATTTATTTATTTCAAATAATAATGTAGCTGAGTTTGTTCGTAATTAATCGAGATGAGTAGTCATCGCTAGATGACTCCCGTCTACGCTTTGCTGTGGTTTAAGTATTTTCTCAAAATGTTCTTTTCGTCTGGCGAATATATCATCATCTCGTTATCAGAAAAGTGTTTTATGCTATGTCTTCTCTTTGCTAACCCTTATTACTGGAAAGAAATTTTTACTGTTCATTTTTCTAAATTTCGTGTTTATTTTTAATACTTTTTCTACTTACACTTTCTTGCTCTACATATTTGTTCTACCCTCCATATTTCTATTTTTATTTTTAGCTTAGTTTTTTCTTAATAATGCATTACTAAATGCAGTTTTTAAAATCTTTTCTATTCGTTGCCATATGTCGTAGATATTTCCTTTATGTGTTGGAATTTTTTTTGCAAGTCTTCTGTGTATTTTTGCCTCTTTTCTGTTTAAGTATTGTTCTGAAGCTATTTTCTTGTGGCATTTTAAAGTAATTACTGTTTAAATGGGAATAAGCCACAATTAAAGGTTAAAATATCGTTTATTGACGGAAAATCGGAAATCGTTCTCAAAATACAAACATTAGTGAATTAAACAAACTTTGTTTTTTTGTTACTCAGTGAAAAAATTCTTCTAACAATTAAATTTTATATGAATCATTTATATTCACCATTAAGACATACATTATACATTACAAAGTAGACGACTTTAAAATGATATTGCCAATATTGTTGAGTTGCGCTCCTGGGACGACTTTACTTATAAGATAGTTCATTCGATTACATGAAATTAACTTAACTTGAGAATATCCGTCAGAAAAAAATCATAGCATATAATTCGTCTTTAAAAAGACAAACACATGCCATGATGACAGTTAAAATCTCCTGTTAGTGATTCCATAGTAAATTCTGAGGGAAAAACCAGGAAAAAAACCTCATAATACTATTCCGATATGGTATTACTGGTATTTTCTTTTTAATAACTTCCTCTTATATGGGTAACCAGATCCTATTGCATTTTGCTGAGGAATTTGCGACAAAAATTCTCTCATTTAACATAATTAGAGCCGCTTCTTTTATTTTACTCTTTTTACCATCCGTTTCTGTTTGGACTATATTTGAATCATTCCGTTCAACCCTATGTTCATTATCCCGTGTGTGTTTACATATCAGATCTATCAAATTGTCTATTTTTAATATAAGATTGATGTTCACTTATTCTAAAATTTAATGGCCTTGATGTTTTACCTAAATAAAACTGATCGCATTCACAAGGTATTTTATAAATGCAATTCTTAGTCCTTTATTGTTCATTGTTAGGTTTGGTTTTGGACAAAATAGATCTCAACGTGTTTGTTGTTTTGAATGTTGTTGAAATGTTGAATTTATTTCCTATCCTTTTAAGTTTTTCAGATAATCCTTTTATGTATGGTATTGTTATTTTCCTCGTATTATTCCTTGTGTAAGTTGTATGATCTCGTTCTAAGTTGTGTTCTATTCGATCGATTGTTAAAAATTCCTTATTTATAAACGATAAAAGATAATCATTTTTTAATAAAACAGATGTTAACAAATGTTTTTCCTCCAAGAACCAATTTTCACTAGAACAAGCAATTTTGGCTTTATCATATAAGGATTTAATGATTCCCTTTTTAATACTAATATTGTGATTTGATTTGAAATTTAAATATCTGTTGGTGTGGGTTGGTTTTCTATACACCTGAGTCTCATATCCAGTATCGTTCTTAGAGATTAAAACATCCAGGAAAGGTAGTGTGTTGATTATATTCCTTTTCCATGGTAAATGTTACTGTCTCTTCTTTATCGTTTATATCATTTAAGAATGTGTCCAATTCTGATCTATGCTGCCTTTACGTAAATTTGACTCCGCCTTCGCGCAGCTCCATGGTCAGGAGTGTTGGAACTATCTTTACATAATGTTAATAACTCCATTATAGCTGATATGTTTAGTCTTGTTCTAGTTGCCAATGTATCATCACTCTCTAATTTTGTCTTGACTATATTTAAAGTCTTATCTAATGGCACATTCGTAAATAAACTATTTATGTCAAAACTCACCAAAGTATTATTTGAATTAAATTCAATATTTGATAATTTATTTAAAATATGTTGTGTATTTTTTATAAATGTGTCATTTTTATTTGCAAATGGTTTTAAAATATTTAATAAAAGTTTTCATAGTTCACTACAAGAAGAATTCATGGTACTACAAACGGGTCTAAGTGGTTATATTCATTTTATGAACTTTCGGTACTCCATAAAAATGAGAAGTCTTACTGTAATGAGGTGTAATGAATCCTCTCTGATAACTTGTTATACAATCTTTAAACTTGAATAAAGTTCTATATATTCGTTTTCCAAACGCTTTGTTGGATCCTTTGTTAATTTTGTATAAGGTCCGTTTATTATTAGATCTTTAATTTTGTTTTCATATTGAATTTTATCCATTATTACAGTTGCATTCCCCTTTTATGCTCATAGGATGATTATGGAGTCGTCATTTTTTAAAGTTCTTATAGCCTTTAGTTCCTCTTTGCTTATGTTTTGTTTAATTTTAATAGACTTTTCCAATTCAAGTTTACATGATACTCTGTATTCTTCCTTTTTGTGGGTTGGTAAACATTGAGATATTTTCTTCACTGAGCTTATTATGTCTTATTTTGAAATGGATGGCTGAGTAACAGCAAAGTTTAGACCCTTTGACAGTATTCTGTGCTGCATTTAAATGTCCTTCAATATGGGTAGGAGGAAGTTATTAAAAAGAAAATACCAGTATTAAATAATTTTTTTAATAACAAACATATAAAATCAGAATTTGGTGTTGATTGAAGGTAAACTAAATGCACCAAATACTTACCATATCAGAATAGTATTATGAGTTTTTTTCCTGGTTTTTCCCTCATAATTTACTATGGAATCACTAACAGGAGAATTTTACTGTCATCATGGCATGTGTTTTTCTTTTTAAAGACGAATTACATGCTATGATTTTTCTGATGGATATTCTCAAGTTAAAGTTGATTTATGTAATGAATAACTATCTTAGAAACAAAGTCGTCCCAGGAGCGCAACTCAACAATATGGGCAATATCATTTTAAAGTCGTCTACTTTAAGATATTAATGTATATCTGAATTGTCAATATAAAAGAGTAAAATAAAATTAAATATTAGAAGAATTTTTCACCAAGTAACAAAAAACATAATTTGTTTGTATTTTGAGAACGATTTCCGAAGTGGAAATTGAAACATCAATAAACGTACTTTATCCTTTAATTGCAGCTTTTTCCCATTTAAATAGTAGTCAGGTGTAATGTTATAAAATTAAAATCCTATAACAAACACCTGGATAAGTAAGATGGGGACGATAAGGAATTTAAGATTATGTTTGATTCAAGAATGGCTTATATACCAAGATTAAAATTCAAACGTAACCCATTGGTCCAAGTTAGTGAAACAAGAATAACAAAGGAAAATTTAATTCATATTTAGAGAACGATATCCGAAGTGGAAATGTCAAACTAAACATATTTTTAAATACAATTTTGGTTTCATTCTCATTGAAGTCTTAAGTCTCATTAAACAAAGTAAATAATATCAAAATGGCACAATTCCGACAATGTAGTTTTGTTTTGTTTTTTTTTTGTATTGTAGAATACATAATGTAAATACCCTTTAAAATTTGGTTTTAAATACTGCACGTATTTAACATTTTTTTATTTACTATTAATGCAAAAATTTTATCAGTTTAGTTTGTATCAATTTAACGCTATACATAAACTACTTTTTAAGGTTGTATCCAACTATTGAAGTAATTCTTCAGTATGAGAACTTTGCTAGCTCATGTGTAAGTGTTATACTCATTATTCGTTATGAACAACGTTGGTTTTCGGTTTTTTACTAATGCTATTTAATGTATTTATTTCAAATATGTATTATTGTAGCTGAGTTTGTTCATAATTTGAGATAAGTAGCCAACACTAGCTGAATACCGTCCACGCTTTGATGCGAATTTAGTATTTTCTTAAAATGTTATTTTCGTCTAGTGAACATTATCTAGCCATCAGATCAGAAAACTGTTTTTTTCTGTCACTTTCCCTTGCTATCCCTTATTGTTTTAAAGAAATTGTTACTGTCCATTTTATATAAATTTAGTTTATATTTTTAATATTTTTTTATAAGAACTTACGCTTTCTTGCTCTTCATATATGTTTTACCCACCATATTTCTATTTGTTATTTTGTTTTCCTTTTTCTTTTTTTCCTGTTTGTGGCCTCTTCGGTTTCTGGGTTCCCTATTTTTTGAATAAATTCTTCGCAGTGATTATTAAACCTTACTTACTCAATTAATTAGCCGAACCAATTGTACCTTTCGGTGTTGGGCCGTTTATAATACAATTCTTTAAATTACAATATTTTACAATCTTCAGAGGTGTCCTAGCTCTTAACGAACTTTCTCCATTCCTTCGTATTGTATGCCATCTGTGTTGCTTCCTGCCAAGTCTTACCCTTACTCTGCAGTATCTGCGAGATGTCACTGTTCCATTCTTTAATGGGTCTTCCTCTTCTGTTCTTCCCTATTGGTTTGGCGTCCCACACTCTTTTTACTTGTCTATTATTGTCCATCCCGGTTAGATGTCCGAACCATGCCAATTTTTTCTCCTTGATTGAGTCGAGTATCGGTTTGATTTTGAGTCTTTCTCTTATTTCTTCATTTCTGATTCTATCAGTTCTTTTTACTCCGATCGTTCTTCTGAGGTATTTCATCTCTGCTGCCTGAATTCTGCTTTGATGCCTTTTGTTTAATATCCAATTTTCTGCTCCATATGTCACTGTAGGTCTATATATATTGTTTTGTATATTGTCATCTTGGTCTTTGTTGATATTTTTTTGTTATTAAGGAATCCTCTATTTAGTGCTTGGAATAGTTTTCCTGTGTTTTCCATTCTGTTGTTAAGATCGTCCTCGATGTCTCCTTTGTTGTTGATTACTGTTCCTAAGTATTTGTATGAATTTGTCTGTATTATTTTTTGTTGGTCTATCATTATTTCTAGTTAAGCTTCCTCCCTTGTTTCCTTGATATTTTCATTATCTGAGTCTTCTCTTTGTTTACGTTTAAGTTGTATTTGCTTGCTTCTAGGTTCCATTTCTTTAAGTTGTACTTTGGTTTTTCTGCTGTTTCCGCAATTAATACTATGTCGTCTGCAAATATACACATCTCAACGTTTATCGTTTGCATTATGTTCCAACCGATGCATTTCTTGAATGTTTTATTACATTCTTTCATTCATCTATTTTCATTTATATACTCTTTGTTGCTTTTATTAGTTCTTCACTTACTTGCTTGTTCTTTAAGCTTTCCCATATATATTTTCTTTTGACTGAGCCGAATGCTTTTTCCATGTCTATAAAGCTCAGATATATTTCTCTATTTTTCTTTAAGACTTTTTTTATTACTTGTTGCATGGTGAATATATGGTCTTGTGTGTTGTGTCCTTTCCTGAATCCACTTTGTACGTCCTCTAATTTATATTCTATTTCTTTTCTGATTTTCCTTTCTATTATGGTTTCGTATACTTTTACTGCTACACATAGTCGTGATATACCTCTCTAAGGATACTCTCTTGATGTGGCTTTCTTTATCAGTTGTATTCGTTTGATTTACATACCACAACAACAAAGAAGAAGAAGGGAAGGCCTTCAGTTGCTGGGAAGAAATGTACGGCACATAATGAGAGATAGAGCCATCAGAGAAGACGAATGGATGGACAGAAAACATGGCGGTCGAAATGCGAGAAACGGCAGAGGCTGTAGGAACCTCGCTTATATATTATATATTTATATATATATATATTATATATATATATTTATATATATATATATTATATATATATTTATATATATATATATATTCGTTTGATTTCCATTCAGTATCAGCTGGAAATGTTCCCTCTATCTTTTCATTATTGTCTTATCGTCGTTTATTATTGTTATTTCCTTGTTCATTATTTGTTTTAGTTTCGTTTTTTTGTTGCTTCTTTGGGTTTTCAGTGTTCTACAAAATAATTTTACGATTTCTGTGCTGTTTTCTTCCATTTTTTCTCCGAATTTTTTCCAACTTTTTTTTTCTCTTTCTTAACTATCTCTTTGACTTTTGTTCTTTGTCTGTTATAATTTTCATATTTTGGTTGTGTTTTGTCTCGTATGTATTCTTTCTATAATTTCTTCTTTTCTTTTATTTCTCTTTTCACTCCATCGTTCCACCAAGATGTACGTTTTCCTCTATTGTTATTTCTTGTAGTTCCACATATTGATTTAGCTGTTTTTATCATCGCATTTTTAAATTTTCCCCATTCTTCTTCTATTGTTTCTGTTATTTCATGTTCATTGTCTATCTCTTTCTCTAGCCCTTCTCAGTATCTTATCTTCGTTGTTTCTTCCCTTAGTTAATAAATTTTTATTATTTCTTTGTGTTTCCTGTTTATGGTCTCATTTCTTTTTATTTATTTTCTTTTTCCTTTGAATGTGGTTTCTACTAGAAGTGATAGATAGTGGTCACTACCAATTTCGTAACTCCTTTTCTGCCTTACGTCTCTTATCCAGTTCTTCTCTGTTTTATTGCACTATAGTATAGTCTATAATTATTGATTGTTCGTCTCTTGATTTGACTTCTCTTGTGATCTTGTGTATCCTTTTATGTTGGAAGTGTGTGTTCATAATCACCAAGTTATTGTCTAAACAGAATTCGAGTAGTTTTTCCATTTTGTTTATTTTTGCCTCCCCAGAAGGTCCGATGACATTGTTTCATTTTTCTGCTTCTTTCCCCACTCTACTGTTCATGCCTCCTGTGATCACTATCCGGCTTGTTTTTTGATTCCATTTCCACTTAATGCCTTCAATAACTATAAAACTATATCCAATTTTTGTCCTTTTCCCATTAGTCTTTTCATCTGCTGCTATCTTCCTAAGTTTCTTTGTATTTCTAACTCTTTAATTGTTAGATCACATTCTATATATACAATGTGTTGCTTATAGTTCATTAGTTTACACTTGGCTTTCAGTATTTTCATTTTATCTTCGAATTTTTTACATTCGATAACACACATTGTTTCATTTATTTTTTGTACCCTATTTATTTCTGATTTTACTCCCATTTTTGTTTCTATGAAGTTCTCTAGTTGCTCTGCTTCTATTGTCTCTATTGGTGAGCCTATTGGTAAACTGAAATTTTGCTTAAGTTTTATTACACATAGTAAATAATATTAAAATGTCACAATTCCGAAAATGTAGTTTTATTTTGTTTTTTTTTGTATTGTAGAATAGATAATGTAAATACCATTTAAAATTTGGTTTGAAATACTGCACGTATTTAACATTTTTTTATTTACTATAAATGCAAAAATTTTATCAGTTTAGTTTACTTTTTAAGGTTGTATCCAACTATTAAAGTAATTCTTCAGTATGAGAACTTTGCTAGCTCATGTGTTACTCTATATGCTCTTCTAATATCAAGTACATGTAAGTGTTATGCTCATTATTCCTTTTGAACAACGTTGGTTCCTGGTTTTTACCAATGCTATTGTATTTATTTAATTTATTAGTATATAAATATTAGTGGTTATAGTTACCCGATCAGCATGTTGCACCAACAATCAGGTATTTTAAAACAACCATCATTGTATCTTATTCTTGGTTCTACCTTTACACTCCGCCTTCTCATTTCAACTGTTTATTTAAAATATGTAACGAGCTAGTCGTGCCTTCTTATTCTTTGCCAATGTGCAGCTGGTCATTTCCGTATTACTTCCCTAAACTCTCGTTACGACACTTTCTCTCTTGGGATGCATTTAATGGGATGGCCTTGCTTCTATATAATACTTCCTTGACCAGTAAGACAATGGATTATTTATCCAAGTAGAGCTTTTATTGTAAAGTTCTGCCTGGACATGATCGTTACCACTAGATGCTTTCTAGCTACTGGCTCAACTGTCTCCTGTTGTGATCTTCAATTTTTGCACCTTATTCCAGAATCATAACATATATGTGTAACTACCCTTTGAGAACGTAAATTTAGGCATCAGATTACAATTGATCGAGCGACAAAATCCTTTATAATTTGTCTATAAATATCTATAGTTTATCTATAAATCTCTACAGTAGATAGTTTTTTAGGGTAAGCATTTTCTGTTAAGATTTAAATTCAGCATTGCGAATACGATGAGGCTATGTCTGCAGCTCGTAGAAGGCTTCTCTGTTCTGAGTAAGTCCATTATAATTTTTGCTTAGGTACCAACCAATCACTCTTCGTAAAATGTTAAACACTATCTTTGGTAGATTCGAACAGCTAAATTGGGTTATCAGTGTAACCTGATATGAAGATATCACTGCTCTATTAGCCCGTAGGTCATTGCAGTCGCTGGAGTGTGAAACAACATACATACGTATGAGACAGTGTACTGTCAAATTGACGGGTTGATCATTTTCTCTATAACGCATCCCATAGGTCATAAGTAACACTTCGTACACACCTAAGTAAACTGTGATTTTTCGTCATCAATGACAAATAGAAAACCACTTATTGATTTGAGAAACAAAATTATACTTTAACTAATATTTTTAGCATTAGGTGAGGAAACTCCTTTCAATTTTCAACGTGTTGACGATGCTACTTTAAACTTAAAACTGTCACGTATTAGTGACGATGACGTGAAAATATATTACAGGAATAAAAAGACACCAAACAATGATCTTCCATTAAATACGTCAGAGGTTTCGCAATTAGGATCTAGTGGGTTTTCTGCAGAAAAGGTAAGTATATCATTTACCAATATCCTTGTTTTTTTCTTGGTCAAAACTTCAAAATTGGTCAATAGTTTATTATAGGTAAGAACATCCTTTAGATCAAGTAGTCTGGGTTTCTAGCGCATACTTTATTTAACTTTCATTTGTCAATAGAAATATTCACAGTCACCCTCTCCAAGACTTTTTAGTCATCCGCTTAATTTTATCGTGCTAGTTCTAGATAATTATTTATTTTAAAATTCCTCCTATTTGATACATTAAAATATCCACAAAATGGAGCTAGGAAACCAAAACTAAGCCTTAGTGAAAGCCTAGTTAATCACTTACAAGGAGAAATTTATGCTATAGGAGACAATAAAGGCACTGCAGTCAAATGGAATCGATTTTAAGTTAGTTTGGAACTGTATTCAGAATCTTAAAAAAGTAACTACGTTAGTTTAGTATGGGTTCCTGAACCTACAGGTATTAACAGAAATGAACAAACGAATCTACATGCCAGAAAGAGTGGCAAAGAAAATATTCATAGGCTAAGAACCTAGCGTTGACATAGCAAGAAACACCGCCAAAAAAATAATATCAGACTGGGTGGAGTGGATTGAACGTAACCACTGGTATGAACAAAAATGGGTCTTATCGTAGATTTTCTAACAGAACACTGCTACCTCAAGGGACACATGAATAAAATCAGATTAACAGAAAGCACGCATTACAGATTTTGTCAGACTGAAGACAAGATCGTGCAACGTTTTCTGTGCAACTGCATAATGGTTGGATAGTTTATGACTTTGTTAGAAATGCTGGGCGGAAAAGAAAGCTTTAACCCAGAGCTGAGCCAAAATAAATCTCTTAGTTCGAGTAGAAAGGCAGTAAAGAAGCCACTCATAGTGAACCTAGTCCAACCTATCCATAAAATGTACAACTGTTTTGATGTAATTGTTTGCCAATAGTTATTGTTTTTTGCACTTTTTAGGTTTTTATTTACAATTCTCCTAACTGCATATTTTAGTGATAACTCATTGATTTATATATTAAACTATATGTGAGAGAATATTAAAAATTTTACATGGTATATATAACAAAATATTTAAAAATACTGTAAGTCATTTTAATATGTTTGACATATGCTTGGTTTTCCACTAAAAAATATAAAATAATGCCAGATTTCTTATGCTGTTTTCAAATTTTTGTTTTCAAATATTTGCCTCACTCTTCACTGTGGCTAAAAGTAAGATTCAGGCTATCAGATGAATCGAGTCATAGGTGGCTAATAGTGGACGGCCTTCAGTTATTAGTTAGTTAATAATATATTAAATATGCAGCCCTCTAACAAGCAGTGCTAGTACTGGAGAATGTAATGGAAAGAAAAGTGCCGGTACAGAACACCTGTAACACTGCCACCTGAAAAAGTAAACATGATGGCATTGCCAAAGGGGCACTATATCGTATATTCGTTGCTTTTGGTCCAATTTTGACATTTTGAGACGTTAAATGAAAGGAGAAAAATTAGCACATATGCTAGAGAGAAAAAACAAACAAAACAGCATTGCCATTAGGGCACTATATCGTATCTTTGTTGTTATTGATTATATTGGAGTATGGAATATGTTAAATGAATAAAGATTGGACACCAATGAATTTTTAAGAGAAAAACAAACATGACAGTATTCCCAAAGGGCAATATATCATATCTTCGTTGTGATTGTACGCCAGGGTGGTACGCCACAAAGACCTTACAATTATTCTGACATTATGTCCAAACCATCAAAAGTATCTACATATACGTTTTACACACATACAAACATATATAGGCTGCACATAACGCTTCATAGCATGCTACTGTTATACACAGACTACAGCGACACAAGTACATCTATTGCTACACATAACCGCTAACTAACGAATGTCCTTGTACATAACCTGTTATCAAGCGTTTAGTTACTAACTTCATTTCACAAATCAACAAATCTTTTTCTCATGCCACCTGTCACCTTTTCATGATGATCGAACGCCTACAAGTCTGCTCTTACAAAAAAAAGCCCATCCAACAAACACATTCTATTATTTAACTATCTGGTTACCTCTGCCCAACCGAATTTCATGTCCTAACTACTTACACGATGCAGTCTGCACAATATCCCTTCCATCAACTGCAATCTTTTAATTTAGCACCAGATTTTGATAAATTTAGTCAATACAGTTATTATTATTTTTGTTCGTTGATTGACAGTGGACGATAAAAAAACCCGTAAGTGTGATGGTTATCCCTTCTAATTTTTTTTGTTTTTTTTTTCTCTAGGATACAGTGTTGGTAATCCATGGTTGGAACAGTAGTTACAAATCCGAAATTAACGTAGGCCTTTCCGAAGCTTACTTAAGCAAATACGACATTAACCTTTTAGTTGTTGATTGGAGTCGTGTGGCAAACGATTTGTATGCAATAGCTAGTGCATCTGTCGAAAAAATTGGACAGATAGTTGGAAATTATATAAAAACCCTGCAGCAAAAGTTCAAGTTGGATTTAAATAAAACAGCTATTGTAGGCCATTCCTTGGGAGCTCATGTTGCAGGAGTCGCAGGCCGCACAGTTGGTGGACTTGCTAACTATCTTATAGGTAAGTAAAATTAACCAATACTTACTAAATTGTTAGAGAAATGTAAAAAATTCTGTATAACTGAGCAAAGAAGTGTAGTACAAATTATTTATTTCTAACGTAATTATAATTCAAGTTTGGATCTAGGGTACTATTTTTCTTCTTCAGTGAGATTTATTTAGTTATATTAGCATCTATTTTAATCCAGCGTGTTCATCACTGCATGTCAACTAAAATTTTCCTTTTCCTGTCCTAACATCACTTGATCGGCATTCTTGGTTACTTATTCTGTCGTTCTCTTTATTTTGGTAAATGATAGGATCTAAAAATGCTAGTAATATATACTTAATTACTAGCTCTATGTCTCTGATCCATATTGCTTTTTTAATTCATCACCTTCTATTTCGATCTTTTAGTTTTCTATGTAAAATTTGCTTTTACATTGAACTACATATTTTGGATTAATACAGTTTTAAGAGACTATGTGTAATTTTTAAGAGTAGTAGTAATGCATCGTTTATCCAATATAAATGAAAAAAAAAATTAAATAAGCTACTTAAATTGAGATCTATTCACTTTTAGCAATAAGCCATCATCATCATTATTTTTGCTTTACAACCCTTGTGGCTCCTAGCCTCCCAATAATTCTTATCCAGTCGAGTCTATCTATCGCCTTCCTCCGCCAAGCACGTATTTCCATATTTCTCATATCTTGGTCTATGTTATCTAGGAATCTTGTTCTGGGTCTTCCTCTTCTTCTTTGACCAATAGGTCTATCAAGGAGCGTTTTTCTAGCTGGGTCGGTTTGCTCCATCCGCATTACATGGCCTACCCACCTCAGACGTCCTATCTTAATGTGTTTTACGATATCTGGTTCCTGGTATATTCTATAGAGTTCGAAGTTGTATCGTCTTCTCCAGACACCATTTTATTTACCGCTCCATAGATTCGCCTCAGTATTTTTCTTTCGAAACATCCTAACATGTTTTCATTGCTTTTTGTTAAAGTCCAGGTTTCTGAACCATATGTTAGGACTGGGCGTATTATTGTTTTGTAGAGTTTTACTTTTGTATTTCTTGATATAGCGGTAGATTTAAAAAAGCATCTATTAGCCGTGCAAATTCTGCAGTTTATCTCTGCGGTCATGCGGTATGTCATTTTCAGTATTGACGAGCGTTCCCAGGTATACAAATTCGTTAATTCTATAACAAGTGGCCGTCGTATTTGTGGTTGCGGACCTACTTTCATGTATTTCGTGTTTATTATTTTCTTGGCTTATTGCTTATAGCAATAAGCCAAGATTTGTTAAAATTCATGCAACACGTTTTCAAGAGTTTTAAGTAGAATGATCCATGTTTCAGTACGAATTATTTCCTTCAGTTAATATATCCCATCAAAAAGACATCCAACAAAGTAAGGTCTAAACACTTAGCTGTCAATTCTATGAAGCCACTATTTTCGATCGATTGATTTGAAAATATTTCGTTAACATATTAACTTAATTACGAATCGTAATGGGGAGTAGCTTAATACTTCTGAATAGCGCAATTAAATATGGTACTATCTGCTGTAAGTCTAATTATTTTACCTCAGTGAGATTTCCGTCAACCAAAAATTGGGCTGGTAATTTTTTATGCCAATAATTCCTACCCATACATTAACCTTTTAAGGGACTTAAGTATGGGCTTCTATCAACCAGACTAAATTCATTTTGTTAGGATGCCATTTTATGTTTTTTATGTACTTGATTATTTCGATATTTGCAAATCACATCGAAATGATTACATCAAAATTTGCAAATTGAAGAATGCTTTCCATTCTCATCCATTGACCCCACCAAGAGTTAGATTAACCAATAACTCGAACAGTCGATATCTTCTAGCAAGATTGAGGAAACCGAATATCGACCCCTGCAAAGAATAACGTTGTAACTAGCATTTATGATATTCTTTAGAAATGATAAAAAAGATACCAATTTCTTTGATTTCTTTTTTTATATGTATGTGACATTTTTTCAGTGTAAGAAGTAAGTAGTTATATAAATGTTGAACACCTCTTTTAGAATAAGTTCTACTTTTTGTTATTAGAATATAGGTTTTTGAACTGTGGCAGTTACAGTTTTTGATAGAAATATAAAATTTCATTGAATAATCTTGTAACTGCACTTACGATGTTCTCATCGGAAAAGTTAATATGAATTTTAAATTATTGATTGTTGTAGGTTTTAAAATACAAATTTTATTACAAACTAAATATAAATTCGAATTAAATTTAAAATGAACATATTTATTTATGTCTAGTCTTATATTTCGCTGTCTTAATTAATGTTTTTGGAATCAACTGGGAGATTTTTAAAACAATCGCGGTAAGTGACAGGAATGCACTGGCTTCGACATAAACTGTGCAGATCATCATATTTTGCTTTTATTATCGCTAGATAAGATGAATATGATAGATGTAGATTCTTAGAAAGACCTTTACTAGAGTTCAACTACGTTGATGTCTGCTCATGATTTTTAAAAAATAACACCTGCACTGTGTACTATTCAACTGCAAACTAAACACCGAGACCGGGAAACAATTAAGATCTGTCTGGTCTATTTCCCCCTACTATTCACACAATAATGCCGCAAAATATTGACACACGTGTAGTATCTACCTGCCTAATTATCGCAACTTAGCAGCCAATGCGGCGAATAAAATTGTAACAACAGTTTCGGTGTAGTTTTTGAAATATGAGAATTATTTTGATACACTATGATACGATACAGTATTTTTCGACGAAAATTTGATTTGGTTTAACGTTGTATCTGTAGTTACTCTGTTATTCTACAAATAATTCAATTTTTTTTTATATTTACTTTCTTATGAATGCAGTTAAAGCCACACCGATCATGTTGGCAGATAGAGCGTAGAAAGTTGTCCAAGAAGAACAGTGTAACTCAAAATCGCTAAAAATGTTAGTTACAACGTTATTCTATGCAGGGGTCGATATCTTGAAAGCCATAAAACTACATCTTGGTTTTCTACACGACCAACCTGCTTCAGTATGTTACGAAGGATTCACCAACACAAGTGTTAAACTCTTTTGGCTTCCGAAGAACTTCCCACTAAGACTGAAGATCTACGAAAAATACTTCTAAAATTTAACGATGCGTATGGAATTGGTCCAACTGAGGTGGAAGCTGATCTTGCTGCTTTAAGGTCCTTTTTCACTTCGGAAAGAATTATTCACCTACAAAAATCAAGGGAAAGTCACCGAAACTACTATTCCGTTGAATCTCCAAAACAAATTTTTTAAATAATATGACGTATTCTGTGGGAGTAGAAACCTCGCATTTTTATAGTGAAGACAACTTTAGCATGGGTCTGATTAATATTGGTTCAATACAAAAAAGAGCAAACCGGTATCTTTTGGCCTCAGTACAATAACACACTACAAAAGCTACTTCAAAAATCACGGGATTTTAACTCTTCCCTCTCTTTTCAAAGACCTTTTTGTTCAGTAGAAGAGTTTCTCAAATAATAACACAGGTTTACAAAACAAAATATTTTTTAAATTGTTTGGAATTTCATAACTGATTTTTATGTATTTTTCAGCGCTGATTGCAAAAATGCAATCCATTTTTTTCTATCACGTAAGGTTTTCTCACAACAAAGAATTACTTTTTGGTATAATAACAAAATTTTAGCAATTTTTCAATGTATAATACATGTTATAAACTACATATCTGGTACACTTATATTTCTCTTTAAGCTCATAATTCCTTATAGTAACGCTTTTGCTTTCCGTCGAAGCTTCTTTGATTGCTTTTCCGGCTGTGTACTCATTGAGGGTCATCTCGTTTTAGCATCCAGCAGTAGTCCGCTATCATGTTGACGTTCCATCTTCCTTGATACCTTCTTTCCATTTCCTTGATATCTTGGTGGAATCTTTCACCCTGCTCTTCACTTACATCACCAAGGTTTTCAGGGAAGTAGTCTAGATGTGAATGGAGGAAATGAACTTTAATGCTCATGTTACATCCCAGCTTCTTAAAGTTGTCGAGCATGTCTGCGACGATTGTCTTGTAGTTAGGATCTTTTTTGTTTCCTAGGAAACCGGTAACAACTAGTTTAAAAGATGTCCATGCTGCTTTTTCGTTTGTTTCCATTTTGTCCATAAAATTGGGATCTCTTATCAGTTTTCTAATGCCTGGTCCTACAAAGACTCCTTCCTTTAGTTTTGCCTCAGATAAACCAGAAAACTGTCCACAAAGATACTTGAAACACGCCTTTTCTTTTGGCAACGCATTTACACATTGTTTCATTAACCCCAACTTAATGTGGAGTGGTGGTAGTAATACCTTTTTGGTATCCACAAGGCTTTTCCTCTCAACATTTTTAACTTCCACCTGTAAGGTTTCTCTCAAGGGCCAAACTTTTTTAATGTAGTGTTGCTTTCTGTCTCTACTGTCCCATTCACAGAGAAAGCAAGGGAACTTTGTATAACCAGTTTGTTGACCAAGCAGCATTGAGATCACTTTCAAATCACCACATAGTGTCCATTTATGGTCTGAATAGCAGAGTTTGTTTAAAACCAGTTCGAGGTTTTCATAACATTCTTACAAGTGAACAGGATGTCCAACTGGCATAGAAGCATACTTATTGCCATTGTGTAGAAGCACTGCTTTAAGGCTTCTTTTTGAAGAATCTATAAAAAGTCTCCACTCATCAGGAGCATATTATATTTTAAAACGTGCCATAAGTCCAGGAACATCACTGCAAAACACCAAGTCACCTTATTGAGAGAAAAAAGATACAAACTTGTTTTCCCTGGAACTATACCAAGAAAAGGACGTACCCGGAGCCAACATATTTTTATCTTTTAATCTAGACCCTAAAAGTTCTGCCAAGTCTTTAGGAAGACCTAGGTCTCTAACTTAATCATTTAGTTCAGATTGTGAGAATGGAACGGGATCGGTTGTGTCAGGATCGTAGCCATCACTGTCTTCTTCACTATCTATGCTGGTTTCTCCTAATCAACTGTTTATTTTACATACAACTTGTATAGTAAAAAAACAGCTAAGTAACTGAAAATAAAAGTATTTCTTATACTTATTAAAAGTACTAAGGGCCTAATAAACAGTTCATAAAGATCCAAAAAACAAAAATTCAAACTCACTAGAGTACGGAACTATGTATAAAAATATCGAAAAAAAAGCAAAAAATAGACAAGCAGTTTGTGGAATAACTGTACGTGATGGAATGTTTTCACTATTTTTCCCAAAATTAGAGTTGAAAATACTATAAAAATCACTTATTCAATTTTAAACAATTTTTATGTCGCAGACCTGTGTAATTAAAAAAGGACAGTTCATTTAGGCACAAATAACAAAGTATTCTTATATGTATATATTTGGGTATCACACGCAGCAGTTTAAACTAAACGAGTTCGTAAGGTTTTATTATGCAATTTGCAATATTATGAAATTTTGCAGCACATTGTATATTTTTTTAGTAAATTTTAATTGTTAATGTTATTACTATTGTTTTGTAAAGTGTAAACTTTTATAAGCTTTGTTCATAAAATTGTACAATTTTCAGTGACAATAAAGCATATTACTTCTCCTTCTATTAAACTTTGTTTATGTCATGTTTAGAGGCTAAAGTTGTAGAACAGTATATAATATTTTTTAATTAATACGTCCGTCTATATCAGTCACAAAATTTTAGGATTGGATCCAGCGTGGCCGTTATTCGTAGTTTTGCACAGAAACATCCGGCTAAGGCCAACAGATGCAAAATTTGTCCAAATTATCCACACAAGTGATGTGGGTATACAGGTCAGTCTTGGTCATTCAGATTACTATCCAAATGGGGGACTTCGTCAGCCGGGATGTCCGCTTGTCTCTTACGGTAGGTAATTAATACAACAAAATTTTAAAAATGTCTTATTATATTTCAAGATACCAGTGCTTTTAGACTTACTTATTTTTTTACAAAATAAAAATTATAGAATACTGTAGTACACACCGGATACACTTTAAATGTATGCATACCTGCTTGAGCCGACCGCGACGGCAAATATATAGGTATCGGGTGCTAAGGCTAGGCGCATACACATCGAATTTGGACGGTCGATAAAAGTTCGACCGAACTTTTGTCGATGATGCCTTGCGCGCACACTACACGATATTTATTCGATGCCGTTTTTTAATCCACAAAAGTTTGTTAGGTGAAGTACACAAAAATAACAAGGAGCAACACAGAACCATGTAGCAACACGGAGCGACGTACCTTGAGCAGTGTCAAAAAAACGCAACTGGTCCTCTGGTCGGTCGATAAAGATCGATGTGTGTGCGTGCGTTCATTTGATACTATACACCTTGGAACGACGGCAACGACCACGGCAGTCGTGAATGCAGTGACATTCATCGATCGCCACACGACCATCATACGACATCGATGCCGTGCCGTTTGGCGGTCGATGTGTGTGCCCGCTCACATTTGTTTCTTCGCGCCACCAAAGGAATTTGTTCGGTCGTACTTTTATCGACCGTCCAAATTCGATGTGTGTGCGCTTAGCGTTAAGATAGCTAAAAACAGTTCTTACTTTTCTTAAAGTCTTAGTAGTTATTTTTACGTAGTTTTAGAAATTTTTAGTACTATTAAACTCATTTTGCTGGCGGTAACTTTTACCAGACGCTTTAAAGCTTTCAAAAAATAATGTAGCTTTACTTATATTCTCACGCTTATATGCTTTTATATATTTTTATATCTAATATTCCGGAAACTAATCAAACAATTCTTGTAAGCAGCCAAAACAATCAAACATTCAAACAGGGTCAAACATTCAGCCAGACATGCACAGAAAAAAAGTAAGTAGTGTTGTATACATATGGCGAGATTTGTGTGTGCCTGGGAGAATATCTGGAACTTCCGATTGGTTTTTCTGCTTTTAAAAATTGTTGGATTAGTTTCCTGAATAACATTTTTAAAAATTAAGAGTAAGAATATAGGTAAATTGACATTATTTTTTTGAAATCTTTAAAGCATCTGGTAAAAGTTACCGCCAACGAAATAAGTGTCGCAGTATTGATTACTAATTTTTAATAATAATTTTTAAAACATACCAAAAAGTAAGCACCTTAAAAATGACTGATGTTATTAAAACATAAATATTTTTTCTTTTTCGTTTCCTTTTCTTGGCTATAAAACCCTTTGTACATTTTGGTCTGCTTCCATTCTGTGAAAATGTATAAGCAAAATGTTGTTGTTTGTATGTTTTTTTTTTCATAATTGATATAACTTATACATTATAATGTTTGTGTACTTGTCTGGGACTTTTTATTATTCCCGTATTGTTGGTATGTTCTTCTTATTGACTTTTTCTTTTAGTATTGGCAACCAAAACCCGCTATATTCTGCTGATGGGTTTGCTACACATTTTTCTCCATTCAATAAATTTGCGAAATTAAAGGAATTTAAGGAATTAAAAAAAATCTATTGAGTTTGAAATTATATCACCTTTCCCGAACAACCTGTTCGCTAACTCTGCCACATATGGTCCTCAGTAATTTTGTTTCAAAGATGCTTCTTCTTCTTCTTTTGGCATCCTAACCCGGGATGGGTCTTTGCCTGTCTGGCTATGTCCTTCCATTCAGATCTCTCTTGTGCCCTTCTTCTCCATTGTCTTATGTTCATTGTTTTCAGGTCATCTTCCACGTCATCCAACCATCTCGTTCTGGGCCTTCCTTTTTTTCGCCTTCCGATGGGCTTCCATTGTAACATTTTCTTTGTTGTTTTTGCATCGTTTTGTCTCTGCACATGTCCCAGCCATGACAGTCTTTGACTTTTCACAATTCTTACAATATTATAAACTTCATTTAACTCATTAACTTCGTCGTTTCTCCTGATTCTCCATGTGCCATCTTCCTCTTGTACCGGGCCATATACTTTCCTCAGTATTTTTCTCTCGCATGTCCTAAGTTGGGCTTCATCTTTTTTCGTCATTACCCAAGTTTCACATCCATAGGTTACTACGGGTCTAATCAGTGTTCTGTAGATAGTCATTTTGGTTCTTTTGTCTAATAATTTCGACGTCATCAATCTTTTATTAGCATAGTATGTACGATTTCCGCTGGAAATACTTGCATTAATTTCGCTACTTACGGAGTTCTTCTGATTGATTTCTGTGCCGAGATATGTAAAGGCATCCACTCGTTCGATAGTATAGTTGTCCATTGTGATATTATTTTCATTGTCAGTTATTCTTTTGACTGTCATATACTTCGTTTTTGCTTTGTTTATTTTGAGACCTCTTTTTCTTGCTTCAGGATCAATTTGTTTCAACACTTCCATTAGTCGTGGACTTATTCCTACTAATGATGGCTACATCGTCTGCATATGCAGTAATTTGTACTGATTTGGTATTTATATGGCCGGTTTTATTGGTTTTTCTGATGACTGCCTCAAGAACTAGGTTGAATAGTATGGTTGATAGGGCATCTCCCTGTCTTACTTCCATTTGATGTTAAACAGGGGAGTCAGTTTTCCACCTACTCTGTCTGCGGCTTTTGAACTCTGCAACGTCATTTTTATAAGGCTAATGTATTTCTTAGTTATACCTAGATTACAAAGGTCTTCCAGCATTCTGTCTCTTCTCACACTATCAAAAGCTTGTTTAAAGTCTATATACATATTATATAGGTCTATGTCGTATTCATAAGCTTTTTCTTGTATCGTTCTTAGTATGAATATGTTATCTGTAGTGGCTCTATTTGGTCTGAATTCATTTTGATAATCACCAATTATATTTTCCGAGTATTCTAATAATCTATTGTAGATTATACCAGAAAGAATTTTGTATATTACATTAAGCAATGTAATTGGCCTATAATTCTGGCATTCCCTCTTATCTCCTTTTTTATATATTGGCTGTATGAGGCCAACTGTCCATTTCTCTGGCATTTGCTCCTTCGTCCATATTAATGTTATTAAGTAATGAATTCTTTTCCAGAGTTCGGATCCTCAATGCTTTAATCAGGCTTCAAAGATGCTTAGTTATTCTTTATCTCGAGTCGTCATTGCCCATGTTTTCGATCTGTAAATGAGCACTGGGCGTATTATTATTTTATCAAGATTGCACTTTATTGCCCTTGACATATTTCTTGCTCTTAGTTGAGAGCGTAGGCTAAGTTAACAACGGTTAGTCACGTATATTTTTTTCTTATTTCTTAGGATGAGTTGAATTTGCAGTTTACCAGTGACCTTAAGTAGCAGAATTATTTCTGTTTCTATAGTTTCATTTTAATTAAGTATTTTGCTGTAAATGGTTTGTAAGTTCTTTGACGACTATCGGTATACTGAGATGACCACCTATACAAACATTTTTTTTAAACTTCAGGTTTTAAAGTGTTCAATCACAAATTAACCCCTTAATTTGTAATCTCACATTATTCTTAATTTCTTAATCTTTTATAGTTTCACCTTATATAAGTTTGCATTATACATATTGCAAAACCATATCGTATGATAATTTAATATTAGTTCATTTACCTACAACTAAATAAATTGTCGAATAATAATATTTTCTAATTGAACTTCCTAAGTGTCGCAATTAAGGCGTAGATTAAATTGTATTATAAGCAAAAGCTAGGTGGTGTGAATGAACGAAGCAATGACCTAAGGTGCTTATGTATCTATTATGTGTGAGATTATAAATTGGGGATTTGAGATCAAATGAACACAGTCAATATTGAGTAGTTACCGAACGAACACCATATTGTGTAATTACGAGCTGCTGTCAATAAATAATCACTTTTACTCCACAACTTCAACATTTATTAACCCTACCAGCATCGATCGACGAGAAGCGGACAAAGGGGCATTACGAATCGAACCGAGCTTCACTACTAAGGTTTCGATATTTTTCCAAAAGTCATACCCGGGTGTAAAATTGGTTGCCTATATTATATTCTAAGTGTTCAACTGATTTCGATCCAATTTGATTAAATCTCATTGGCTAGATAACATAATTAGTCAAGCACACATTTCAAGCGGACTTTCGGTATTGACAGAGCGACATATTTTAATTGTTTTCTTATTTATTTAATTATTATTAATTACAAAAATTACGGGTAAGTGATATTTTTGAAGTCTGTTTCACATTAAGGACTGTTATTTATATGAATACATTAAAATTTTTTAGTAGATCACTGTCTTTTATGTGGTATTCTAGCACTAAGTACCACAGGGCAACTCCAATATGCAAAATCAAAAGTTGAGCTTCAGGCATTTGAAAAATATTTCCAAAAACGAGGTTGACACCTTATTAAATGAAATTCCAAGTGACTAGGAGTCAATTGATATTAAAAGCGTCTTGGGAGATCCTGAAGACGATGTACCGCTAGCAGTACAGCTAGCACAACGAGATAACTGTATATTTTGGACTTAAAATACAAGTTATATAACAAAAACAAATCAATTAATTGAAACTACAGGCCCAAATATTCCAAATTCTGCAGAGAACCCACATATGTGTTTTTGAAACTATTTCCTGATGATCTAATTCACCAAATTGTATTTCAACACCAATCTATATTCCATTCAAAAACACGGAGGAGGAAATGGATTTAAACCTACCACAGAAAACGAAGTTAAAATATTTCTTGGAGTAGATTTATTAATGGGTATAAAGGAAATGCCCAGTTACAGAGATTATTGGTCGTCACATAATGAATTACGAGACCCTTTTATCAGTTTGGCTATGTCACGTAACGTATGTCAAGTATGATTGGCTTGGTTACTAGGTAATTTACATCTGGTTGATAATACAGTGCAGCTATAAAAAAATAGCTTAAAAGCTGTCAAGCTGCAGCTGTGGATGATATATGCAGTAAAAAAATAAAACATCT